ATCATATTATGTACTTTGTTCATAAGATGCAAACCAGTTAAAACCAAATCATTCCTCAATCATTGATCCACCAGAACTTTACTAAATAAATTTATACTGGTAATCAAACTACCACAAGTCAAAAAATTTAGACAGTATTATTGAAATCAGCTTTGACCAATAGTTAATATTAAATTTTTTTTTATTCTTCACTATATTAAAAACAAAGAAAAGTTAAATCCGAAGAGAAACAAAATTATTCACAAACATAATTACTTACATTCTTCTTCGAAGTCCTCTTTAGTTGTGAAATTAAATCCTGCACATACTTCTTTATCTATTAGTAATTATTTAGTAAATTAAATATAAGTCAAATTATGTAAAAACAAAAAAGTAGAATAAGTGTAAACAGATTACAATATATATCTAGGCAGTAATAATACCATAACCAGATTCAAAATATTACTTATTCGGAAATAAAAATAAAATTGTTTATTTGATGTAATACTTCACCGTTAAAATAAAGCTATAATAGTTTTTTAATTCATATAAAACAATTAAAATAGCAATAATTACTTTAAAATTTAATGACCTCTAGTTACTTTAACTCTATTAAGTCTAAGTTTGTTGCATGAGTCAATGATTGAAAAATTATTATAGGTAGCTTTCATTGCATAAACACAAGTTGACCAAAATAACCATCCATTTTTTTTCGAATAAGATGGAACAACTGCCTCTGCTTCAAACCTAATGTATATGTAAATTATGCATATATAAATCTTTATATATTTACAAACACACACACACACACACACACACACACACACACACACACACACACACACACACACACACACAGATATATATATATATATATATATATATATATATATATATATATATATATATATATATATATATATATATATATATATATATATATATATATATATATATATATATATATATATATATATATATATATATATATATATATATATATATATATATATATATATATATATATATATATATATATATATATATATATATATATATATATATATATATATATATATATATATATATATATATATATATATATCAGGCCTTGCGATAAAGCGTCGGGCGATGTGAGTTTTACGTCGTCCAAGAGCGTTTTTGCGTGTAGCTAGGGCTATTTGCGTCGAGCAAAAATTTTTTGTTTGAGTATATTTAAAGATATTTTTGAGCGGAATTTTAATAAGTAATTTACGATTATTTTAACATTTAAGTATTTTAAAAACCGCACGCAGTTGAAATAAAAGTTTGAATTAAAAAAAATTAAATATGCTCATTATTTACAAGTAGAAAAAATTCAGATTAAAAAAGTTTAAATATTTTAAGCTAACATTTTAATAAAATTGTTCAGCAATAGCAAAGTTGTCGATAAAATTGAACAAAAATACTTTCTTTTAGTTTTAGATTTTAAACTTAAATAATTATTTTACGGGGGTTTGTTAGGTTTTAAAATTATTCCATAGATTTAAAAATATTTATTAACTGTTAGATGTATTTAAAGTATTTAAGAGTAATTTCGTGGAAACATTTTAAAAATTGGTGAGCGCAAATAAAAAAAAAAAAAAGGATTAATATTAAAACGTATTCTACTTGATTCAATAAAAAAGTACTGTTATTAAAATTTTTGTAAAAAGTAACTCAAAAAAATTACTTAAATAATAACGATCGCTTTTATGTTAAAAGTTAACGAAACTCAACGAAGCGTGCTCAAGAACAGCTGCTGAAAAATAAAACGTCAATAGTTTTTCGAATAATTTTTAATAATAATTTTTAAGAAAAATTTTTTCGCTGAAATATTTCTTTTATACCTATAAGATTTTTATTCTAACATTTTATTTTATTTTACTAGAAATAAAATTCCTTGTTAACATTAAAAATCTATTCAAAACGTTCGTTTAAGTTTTTTATTAATACGAGAAAAAAAAAAAAAAAAAAAAAATATATATATATATATATATATATATATATATATATATATATATATATTATATATATATATATATATATATATATATATATATATATATATATATATATATATATATATATATATATATATATATATATATATATATATATATATATATATATATATATATATATATATATATGAATATATAGTTTTTATGTGTATACACATAACTGTCATGTTTTGAAAATGTTTACAAGGGAGACTTGGAAAAAATTTTATACCATTGGATATTTGTCCACTAAAATACCTCTATTGACTAAAAAAGTTTTTTAATGATTTATTACTCTGACAACTAACTTAAAAATGTCCAATTTTGGCCACTGACTGAGCTGAAATTTATTCTGTATAGATATAATTTTATATATTTATGTTTGTGTTAAGCAATTTTTAACAATCTTTAACCATTTTTCTTAACTTATAAAATGAAAATTATTTAAAAAGTTAAAAGCTTGGTGTATTTTAAGATACTTAATAAAACTAGTATACAAACTCTTAATAAAGTAATAAATAAATGTTAAACTAAATAAATGTTAAATTCCTCATAAAATATTAAACTCTTAAATATTGATAATAATTCTTTTATAAAATTTCCATACATTATACCAACTTTTATATTTTTCAATAAAAATGACTAGACATGACAATATTTTGTAATTTAAAAAAAAAAAAACATGTGTTTATTATAAACACAATATGCCTCTCTTACATATATATATATATATATATATATATATATATATATATATATATATATATAATATATATATATATATATATATATATATATATATATATATATATATATATATATATATATATATATATATATATATATATATATATATATATATATATAAATATATATATATATATATATTTATATATATATATATACATATATATATATATATATATATATATATATATATATATATATATATATATATATATATATATATATATATATATATATATATATATATATATATATATATATATATATATATATATATATATATATATATATGTATGTATAGGTGATAAATTTTAAATAGACTAAAAAATTTATTCTGTTAACAAACTTAATTTAGTCTGACTTATTATGTTTTATTAATTTTGATAATATTTTATAAATGTAAATTGTATTAAAACTAAGTATTATTTCTAACTAAGAAATAAATATTTAAAAAAGTTGAGCATTTTATTAAAATCGTCAACTTAAAACAAAATAAAACATTGACAAAAATAGGTGATAACTTTTAAATAGACTAAAAAATTTATTCTGTTAACAAACTTAATTTAGTCTGACTTATTATGTTTTATTAATTTTGATAATATTTTATAAATGTAAATTGTATTAAAACTAAGTACTATTTCTAACTAAGAAATAAATATTTAAAAAAGTTGAGCATTTTATTAAAATCGTCAACTTAAAACAAAATAAAACATTGACAAAAATAAGCTGAATAATTCGATTTTACCCTGTGATTTATGTACTTTATATACATTTTGATATAAAATCTAAAAGTTTTAAATTAGTCGCAATAAAATAGGCTATAAAATATAACTTTATTAAAAAAAATTTTATACTATACGCATGCATTATATCAAGTTTTCCTTGCCTTTCCATTAAGGCAAATTATTTTTGTAATGGCTAGTTATTGAGTCAATAATCTTCAATGTGCCACTTCCGCAACATTGCCAAAACAACGTTTTATTAACGTTGGCAAAGTAACACTTTTTCAACGTTTTTTAATTACCACATTTTCAACCAAAGTGGAAACAACGTTGAATAAGTGTTGTTTTTCAAATAGTTTAAATTCGTTGAAAAAGCAGCTAATGTCTAACGTTGATAAATTATTACCTTTGCGTTGATAATTTATTACTTTAGTTTGTATACTAAAGTATTGCTTATAAATACACACAAACCCCCTCCTTTCTTCCCAGATTCTCTAAATTGATGAATCACTTTAAAATTTGGCAGCTGAAAATTTGTATTTGACATAATATATTCATCAGTACACCAACTTTCGCTGAGACTAATAATTTTAAAATTGAATTTAATCTCGCATAAAAATTGTTTAAATGATTCAAAATTTTTTGAAATGCTCCTAATGTTTAAATGCAAAATTGAAAATGAATTTACATCTATTCCTTGCATTATGTTTGCAGATTTAGGGTTATAATATAGTATTATTATTTTGAAAAGCTTTATTATTACTATAAAAATTAATATCCGGGTCAGAAGTTTTATCTATAAGTATCCTATTTTTATTTTGTAATGAATTAAATTCTAAGTTAATTGAATCATTATTATTATTATTCATAAGAAGGGTGTTTTTTTTTTTAAAAAAAAAAACTGTTAAAAATAGTAAAAAATAGAAAAAAATAAAAATAAATAAATAAATAAAGTAATTAAGCACTCGCTTGCTTTTTCCTAAATTCTCTAACTATAAGTTAAATTCTCTAACTATAAGTTAGAGACTCGCGCTGGCCCTACTCGCGCTGGCCCTGTATATATATATTTATAAACATATACATATATATTATAGTAATATGTATATACAGTGGCGGCACAAAGTAAGGACTTTTGTCCAAATAATTACCAGATGAAAGCGTCATAGCTACATTTATTGAACTCTTGTGTTGTGTTGACACGTCAAAATCTTTGCATTTCCTGTTTACCTTAGCAACAAGCACATGTTTGTTTTGATAAATTAATATAACACATTTGAAAGTTGTTTATCATATTTTAAGCATAGGAAACAAGACAGTAGAGGTAAGTGATGTGCCTTTATTGTGATATTAATGTCATCATTATTAATTGATAAAAAATATATGTTTATATTATTACCAATCACATATTGAGTCAGTATATACCATTTAAGGTCATTTAAGGTCATCTAAAGCCCGATATGGTTAATGAAAACCAGCAGTCAAGGATAACTATTGAGTTTTAAGGTATTCTCCACCAAGTTTTTTTACTTTAGCCATTTTTTTGTGTTTTATTAGCATCTGTTTCTAATTTGGCAGCTTCACTATCAGTATTAATTTTATTTTGTCTGTTTTAGTTTAATTTAATGATCTAATATCAGTATTTTTTGATGTAGAAAAAAGTGTAAAATATCGTCGCTTGTCCCAGGAAGAGCGCTTCCGTGCTGTTTTCAAGACAGAAAATGGTAAAAATTATAGTAAAATTATAACAATTCTTGGTAATACTGCAAGCGATATCAGGAAAATTGTTAAGAAATATCGAAATTCAGGTTCTACAGCAGACAAGGCACGTTCTGCAAAGCTAAAGAAGACGACGGCTCATACCAATCGGGTGCTGGTTCGCATGTCACTTCAGGATCGTTGCCTGACTGCACCACAACTAAGCCGGAGACTGTCGGAGGAATATGGAGTTAATTTAGCCTCCAGAACTGTGCAAAAGAGACTGCAAAAAGCCGGATTAGGAGGTTGTGTGGCAGCAAAGAAACCTTTGCTCTCTGCCGCCAATGTCTGGCGACGGTTGGTCTTTGCCAGAGAGCACAAAGACTGGATTGTCGCCGACTGGAAAAACATTATTTTTTCCAACGAAAGTTTATTTAAAATATTCTGTGGGGCAAAGAGACTGATTGTTAGAAGAAGAATTGGTGAAAAGTTTAAAAAAAACTGTATTGCACCAACTGTGAAGCATGGCGGTGGTAGTGTTATGATTTAGAGGTGCATGTCTGGACACGGGGTAGGGTAGCTGTATCGGTGCGTTGGGTCAATGGACTAAGGCCAATACATCGGGGTGCTTCATGA